ACCTGCACGTTGTGCACATGTACCCTAGAACATAAAGTATAATAATAAAAAAAAATGTATTGACCTGTAGGGCAAAGGGAAAGTGGCACAAACTTTTTCTTACCCCTAATCTTGGAAAGGCCTTTCAGATTCACGTTCGCCTTCTTTTCATTTGAGACCACCTGGCCATCGGCTTTGCTGTTTTCTGGGGATAGGCAGGGGAAAATGTATTAATAGAACTGGGCAGAAAAACTGACAGGCTGGACCAAAAGCAAGTGAGGGAGTCCTGGGTTTCATTCTGGATCCCCTTTTTTCAGACAAAGAACCTCAAGCAGGTGTCCAGAGCATTTTCTGCTTTTGAGATTGTCGACTTTTAAGTTACACACAGGATTTAATTGTACATTGAAGTCTCTTAGAATTTGTCTACATACACACAGACTTAAATGAAAATGTTTTAATGATTCAGTCCAAACAAATTTTCAATTTGAAAACAGCCATTCTTAAAATGCATGCAACCCCTTTTTTTTTCCTTCCAAACAAAGCTGTCACATCCACCAACCAGGCAGCTACATCAACTGGCAAGATTGGTAAAAATTAACGATTTTCAATAGGATGCTAAAATCTTACTATTTTAGATCCACTGATTCAAAATTGACAATCATTTAGAAAATGAGACTTAGCCTTTACCGTCTAGAAGAAAGGAAGTTCTCAGACCATGACTAAAATAAATTTCCAAGATTTCAGGGCCTGATTATAAAGAAGAAATGTATTTACAGGAAATTCAGAAAATAAAATGATATGAAACATCACCATCTGGAGATAGCCACAGATGAGGATGGCGATCTCCAGATGATGATCTGTGCAAAAATATTCTCCTAGTCTTTTCTTTTTGCATATGTTACTTTTTGAATAACACGTTTTCATTAAAAATGTTGGAGATTTATAATATTTTAATATACACACATACATTTGAAAACCACAAATAAAAATATAAATATTGCTTCTATTACACTGACCAAACGTAACCACTACATATATTTTTATGAATGAACTGTCATCCACTTTTCTATATTAATGTCTCTTTATATATACAGATAAATAATTACATGTGCATCTATCAGGATACATAAAAATATACTTCAGAAGTATAAATTTCACATAAAATATGGTTATACATATATATATTTTTACAATTGTGTACACATACACATACACCCTGATTTCTTCATTTAGTCCTCTTAGGAATGTCTTTCCAAATTAATAAAAATTTCTTGAGCTAGGAAAGAAAGTCATACTGAGGATGATAACACCTCCTTATTAACTGTGGGCCTCTGGACTATTACATGCATGAGAAACCATATTGTTGAAGCCATTGCATTCTCAGGCCTCTTGTCACAGCCTGTTAGTCTACACCCTAAATGATACAGGAGGTACAGAACTCTCCAGGCCCTCGGGAACTGCAGGCCTTCAAGAATACAGTGGGCAGTGCCCTAATAAACTCAAAAGCTGTAATGACCTCACTTTGCCTGCTTACCATGTTGCTGGACGTTTTTCTGCATTCTCCTTCTTACTCTGGTCCAGCAATGCCCCCTCTTTTTTCCTTCAAACCAAAGAGAATAAAGTTAATTATGCAGAGGGATAAATATAATTCTTTGAGTTTTATATGCCAGTAAGAGTAAAGGTTTTTTTTTCATACTTTGGTCCTCAGGAATGGGGCAAAATACTTTAGGATCAGTGTAGCAGTGTGGAGGTTGAGTACAGAGTTATATTTTACCTCTGCATGAGCCTTGGGCCATGGGCTTGGGAGAGACTATAGGAGATGACCTTCCTTGAAACAAAATTTTTAATAGAAAATTAACTCTTGCTGGCACCTTAGAGTGAATGATAACTGCTGTTTCATGTTCCTTTTTCAAGTGTTTGTTGTGTAAATGCAAATGTGCAATGAGAAGGCATCCTCCTTGAAGCTGATGATGTTATAAATAATATTCTATATTGGAAGTTGGGAGATATTCTGAACTTGATGTAGTGAGTTTTCATTATGTAATTACATACTCATTATAGAATCCCTATATAATTTCACTAAATAATATCAGCAGTGCCTCCACACTGTCAGCCCTACTTCAGGCTGCAGAGCAGCTGACTCCAGGAATACTGTTGTGACCCCAGAAACTCATCAGTGTCCTGAATCTGGCTGTCTGGACCATTTGCAGTCTGATGTGCCCTTTATCTGAAAAGTGACTCCACAGTGCACTGCCTTTCTGACTATCCCTCATCTCCTCCTGTCCGCACACTGTGGGAGGGCAGTAGGCTCACTGAAGGGAGCAACCCCCAGAAAGGGATCATCTCCTTCCTGGATAGTGACCAGGACAGAAGTGGTAGGGGTTGCAAGTGTTCTGTAGACCTATCTTGAAGATTCAGGATTCTGTTGCAACCATTCCTAAGGATGATGCCTCATCCTTTCCCCTACCAGCCTGGTGGGTATGGCCTTCAAAGAGCCTAGGGATACAGATTTAACTCCAGACACATTTTATGAAAATGCTTTTCCTCTACTATCTAATTTTGTAGACGGAAAGTCTAAGTGAGAAAAGGAGATGATTAGGATAAAAGATGAAGGTACAGCCACTGGAGTGGTATAGCAGATTTTGCAGCAGTGAAGCAAGAGCAAAAATCCAGACATCTAAAGAGGTATGGGAGAAAGGGGAGCATTGGTGATATCTGTCTTTCAGAAGAACCCAAGGATCCTTTGTCCAGAAGGAAAATACCCTGCTCCAGTGCTCCCACCTCTGAGAATGCTGAGTCAGCCTCTCTGCACCAGCCTTGAGACGGCAGGGGCTGGGTCCAGCTTCTGAGGTCCCACACTGAACCCTCTAGACATTGTCCCTACCACTATTCTCAGTCATTTGTTAGAGGGGGGCTGCCACCTGGTTGGTGTCATGGACAAATAGGACAGATGGGACAGACTGTCCTCAAGCAGTTCCTCCAACATGCCCACCCTCTCCCTAGCCACACACACAAACAAATCAAGGATGAACAGAACTGGGAACTCCAAGGCTTATAGCCAGCCAGGAACCACATAGGAGACACTGTTCACCTTCCCCCTTACCAATGTACATACCACTCAAGGAAGCCCAACAATTGTGTACACTTTCCTTCTGGGAGCCCCACGTGTGCCCTGGGGATTGTACTTCTTGTATGAAAGCCAGGCACTAATTGCCTCCCTCATGTAAGGACTTGTACCTTAGAGGTGGTCATAAGGGACCTAAATCGTTTACAGTTTATGAAATGTGTGTGGGTACGGGTGTGTGTGTAGATATGGGGTCTTGCTATGTTGTCCAGGCTGGTTTTTGAACTCCTGACCTCAAGTGATCCTCCTGTATTGGCCTCCCAAAGTACTGGGATAACATGAGTGAGCCACTGCACTGGGTCAAAATTTGTTAAATGTTGTAGGAAAAAAATTGAATGGATGTGGACCCATGGGTCCGACTATTAGAGTGACTGACCAGGTGGTGTCTTCATGGGGAAATTTGCCAGAAGCAAAAATGTGGGGTGAATTTGGTGGAAGGCCATTCTCCATGGCATTTCTACATGCCTCAGAGTATCACTTCAAGGATATTTGAATAGCAAAGCAGTCTTGGAAGCTAGAGATCATGTAGCCTCCAGATTATAGGGCAAATGTATCCCTGACCACTATAAAATAGACAACATCTCCCTCCTTAGACATTTTCCAGAGGAGATGCCGCCAGAAGAGATTTGCTTAAGATCCCCAGAGGAGATTTGCTTAATATCCCCAGAGGAGAGTTGCTTAAATTCCAGCTAAAAAGATAATGTCTCCCTCAGAGGTAAGGTTTGGGTAGGTTTGCTATCAGTCCCCTTATAAGCCCATAGGTTTCCTCAGTGAAGCATTCTTCTACTGCAGCACACACCTGTGAGTGCAGCATCCACCTGGGCTTGCTCTGCACCATCCTTTTCATGGGTCTTGGGGGGAAAGAACTGATGTGTCTACTCTATATCCCAGCAGTTTTGCTCCTAGGTATTTAAGCAAGAGATATGAAAAAACAGGAAGATTCCTACAAGAATATGCTCAGCAGAGTTTTCATAATAGCAAAAAACTTTAAAAACTCGAGGTGTCCATCAATAGAATTATAAACAAAATTTGGTATATCCAGATAATGTACACTACTTAGCAATGAAAAAGAACAAACTACTGAGACATCCAACAATATGGATGAATCTTAAAAACATGCTGTGTGAAATAAATCCCACTCTAAAGAGAATATGCTATAAAACCTTACCTATATAAAGTTTTTAAAAACCCAAATTATCATAGTTAAAAAGAAGAGTAGTGATTGCCCTGATGGGTAGTGGGTGAGATATACCGGACAGGGCATAAGGAACCTTTCCAGGTGATGGTCATGTTCTGTATCTTGATAAGAATTTTGATGGTGCAGAAAAAGGCAGTTACGAGAACTCATCAAATGGTATACTTAATACTCATGCATTTCATTGTAAATTTTATCTTAAGAAAAGAATTCTAAATAAATATTGAACTCTAGTTAATGATACACATGCCAACGTATTTGAGGGGGAAGAGTGCTAATGTCTGCAGCCTTGAAATGTTTCAAACTTGACCACCAGTTAGTGAGTGGATAGAGAAATGCATAGATGAATAGAAAAGTGATAAAGCAGGAATGATACAATGTTAATTGTGAATCTATGTGAAAGTATATTGATGTTTAGTATACAATTCTCCCAAGTCTTCTGTATGCTTAAAATTTTCGTGATTAAATTTTAGGGAAAAAAAGCTTTTAGAGAGAAAGGACAGAATATTTACCAAGAAGTTACAGTTAGTTACAATAAGAAAATAATTTTTATTAGCCACACCATAGATTCCAGAAAATAATATAGTAATCACTTTACTATACTGAGAAGAAATAAATTATTGACCTAGAAGTTTTAATGTAGCTAAGAAGTTCTATCAAAGTAAAGACAAAGTTGTACATCCAACACTTAGCGAGTTTACCACTTAGAGATCACTCACTAGAAAAAACAAAGAATTTACTTCAGCTAGACAAAAAGTGAAACCAAAGAAAAAAAAGATGGTGAGCATACAAAATAATTTTTTTAAATTAAGTAAATATCAACTGTAAAAATGATAATAGTTTCAAAATTTATAGTTAAAAATAAAATATTAAACAATAGCCAAAATGGTAGAAATGGGGTGTTCAGTTTGTAGGGAAACCATGATAAGCTCCTTGTCATCTTTTGGGATTGGGGCATAATTTAAAACATTACAGAAATTTTATCTTTAATTTCTAAACCAGCAGGGAGAAAGGGAAGAATATATAGTTTTATACCAATCCATTAGAAAGCAGGAAGGAGACATGAAAAACACAAATAAAGTATAGTCAACAATACCACAGAAGATATAGGTCCATATACATCTGGAATCTCAATAAATGTAAATAAATTTAAATTTACCTATTAAGAAGCTAGGATTATCAGACAAAATTACAAAAGTTAAGTGCAGTTACAAGAGACATAAAAGAAAACTGAACAAGAGGGCATCACATAAAGTGAGTGAAAAATATTTTTAAAAAACCATAAAAGTTTGCGTAACAATGTTAGTACTCAGCCAAAGAGATTTTAAGGCAAAAGCATTAACAGGGATAAAGCAGAATGCTGTATAATGACAAAAGAAAAACGTCCATTAAGAAGTTATAAATCATGAATAGCCCCAAAATATGTAAAGTAAAGCAACAAAATAAAGAGGAATTGGCAAATATACAACCATGTGCGAGAATTTAACACATTTGTATGCAAATCTGATGGAGCAAATAAAATTTAAATTACTGTGGACACGAATTTAAACAACAAAGTTGTGCTTGATAAAAAAGACACATGGAGTGAAGCCAGAGCCTAACAAATAATTCAAATGTACATTATTCTCAAGGGGCAGAAAACATTTACAAACATTGACCACACATTAGGTTGCCAAAAAAAACACAAAAAACAAAAAACACCTTAATTTAGGGGTGGTATATGCCTGTATTGTCACTTATTTGGGAGTCTGAGGCAGGAGAATCACTTGAGCCCAGGAGTTTAAGGCCATCCTGGAACACACAGTGAGGTCCCATCTTTTAAAAAACAAACCAGCAAAAAACAGATCAGCTGTTGTCAAGAACTAGAGAATGGAGAGACGAATACAAGTGGACTTTGGGGTGATGGAAATGATACATGTCATGATTGTGGAGGTATTTACATAACTGCACACATTTGTTAAAACAAATTTGATTATACCTTAAGGTGATGAATTTGTTTTATGTAAATTACAGTTCAATAAAGCAGATAAGAAAAGTAGACGTGTGGAACATCTACATAAAGAAAATCCTGTTATTGGTGTCCTTATCAAAGATTACTTGAACCTACATGCATGAGTTTATTTCTGGGTTCCCTATTCTATTGCATTGGTTTATGTGTGTTTTTATGCCACTACCATACTGTTTTGATTACTCTTGTTTTGCAACATAGTTTAAAATTAGACAGTATGATGCCTCCAGCTTTGTTTCTTTTTTTTTTTTTTTCAAAATTACTTTGCCTATT